CCCTTTTACAAACTCATTTATATATACTTTACTCTGTCCACCTCCCATAGATACATATGTATGAATACCGAATTTCAAGTTCATGTGACTTATGGTTCCCAATTTATGGCTGATTAAAAATTCCACGCCTACGGGATGTGCCACGCCCCCTTTTATAAACTCATTCATATATACCTTACTATAAGCACCTACCATAGATATGTCTGCATACCAAATTTAAATTTCATGTGACTTATGGTTTTGAAGTTATAGCTGATAAAACTTTTCACGCCCATGTGATTTGCCACGCCATCCTTTACAAACTTATTTATATTTATCTTTTTATAAGCACCTACCATAGCTACACCTGCATACCAAACTTCAACTTCGTGCGACTTATGGTTCAGAGGTTATACCTGATAAAAAATTCCACGCCTATGGGATGTGCCACGCCCCCTTTTACAAACTCGTTTATATATACCCTCCCATAAGCACCTACTATTGATATGTCTGCATATTAAATTTCAAGTTCGAGGGACTTATGGTTCCGAAGTTATAGATGATAAAAAATCCACGCCTATGGGATGAACCACGCCTCCTTTTACAAACTCATTTATATAGACCTTATTATAAGCACCTACCAAATATGTATATAACTGCATACCAAGTTTAAAGTTGATGCGACATATGGTTCCGAAGTTATAGCTGATAAACATTTCAACGAAGATGGGATACGCCACGCCCCCTTCCACAAACTCGTTTATATATACCCTCCTATAAACACCTACCATTGATATGTCTGCATACCAAATTTCAAGTTCGTGGGACTTATGGTTCCGAAGTTATAGCTGATAAAGGATTCCACGCCTATGGGATGCGCCACGCCCCCTTTTACAAACTCATTTATATAAACCCTCATATAAGAACCTACTATTGATATGTCTTCATACCAGATTTCAGGTTCATGGGGCTTATGGTTCCGAAGTTATAGCTGATAAAATTTCCACGCCTATGGGATGTGCCACGCCCCCTTTTACAAACTCGTTTATATATACCCTCGTTTAAGAACCTACCATTGATATGTCTGCATAGGGACACGAATTTCTATACGATACGATACCATATCGATACTTTTGGCATTCCATACCGATATTTTCTACGCGATAGTTTAAAAACGATATTTTTTGGAATCGAGTACCAGAGCCCTAGTATCGTATCGAATGTTATAAACTCACATTACAAGGATAATGTTATTAACAATTCGTCCCCATATAAATTGGGCTTTAAAGAGCAGAAATGTGTAATTAGTTAGGATTGCATGTAGTGGAATTTGACCCCGCGACCTCGGTGTTTTAAGTCAACACATCAATCTCTACGTGCTGTTACACAATACGTTAGTGTTTGACCGAGATTCTCCTCCGATTTGTCGCGCGCGCCTTAATGTTGTGGCACAAAAGGGGTCCCTACAGTTTTATGTCGACTATGAACGGCGATTTGGTTTTAATGGGAAGCTGTTTTTCATTTTCAAGCTGTGCGCACTGCTAACCATTACACCACAGCGGCCTATATACGAGACCTATATTTAGATAAAGATTTTTGGATTTTGGTATCGATATTTGGAATATCGAGTCTTTTTATTCCGATATTAATGGGTACCCGATATTTTTAAAGCGATACTTTAAATGAGTACCATATCGATACATTCTGTTCGATATCGTGTCCCTATGTCTGCATACCAAATTTCAAGTTCGTGGGACTTATGGTTCCGAAGTTATAGCTGATAAAGGATTCCACGCCTATAGGATGCCCACGCCCCCTTTTGCAAACTCATTTATATATACCCTCGTATAAGCACCTACCATGGCTATGTCTGCATACCAAATTTCAAGTTCGTGTGACTTATGGTTCCGAAGTTATAGCTGATAAAAAATTCCACGCCTATGGGATGTGCCACGCCCCCTTTTACAAACTCGATTATATATACCCGCCTATAAGCATCTACCATTGAAATGTCTGCATACCAAGTTTCAAGTTCATGTGAGTTATGGTCTGGAAGTTATGGCTGATTAAAAATTTCACGCCTATGGGAGGTGCCACGCCACCTTGTCGGATCCCAATTTTTTTCACCCTATTATAGGCCCAGGTGTAATGGCAATACTCTGTCAAAATTTTGTTCGATTCTGTCCGTCCGTTTAGACTGCAATCTGGCACATACATACATACATACTTTCACAAATATATAGTAGATATCTTACAGATTTAAAATAAAATCACAAAGATATATACATATTCATGTATGTGTATTAATTTGTATATATGTATGTATGTATATGAGACTTTCTTTTAAATCGGTAAGATGCATTTTAACTTGAGGTTGTAAAAAATTGTTAATGGCAAAATTGAAGAAACAAAAAATTTTGTATGAAGGCGGCGCGCGGGATCGCGGCACGTTAGGCCGCGGGGCGCAGAGCGTGATTACGGCGCGTGGTGGCGAGTCAACGCGGACTGGCTCCAAAGAGTCAACATTTATTTTTCTAATTGAAATAAGATCGTATGGCTTTATTTCTCATATGTAAAATGTATGGTTATGGCTTTATTTCACTTTTCCCATGGAAATAAATGTGAAATGAAATAAAGCCATATGGCGATATTTCCTATGGCTTTATTGCACGACGCCGAACTGAACCGCTCAGGAACAATTTATTACAAGAGCGTACAATTGTTACATCGATAACTAGAAGGAAGCAAAGCGATTGGGTCTGGTGGTCAACGAGGGCAAGAAGAAGTATCTCCTGTCATTAAAAAAACAATCAGCGCATTCGCACCTTGACACTCACGTTACTGTTGACAGTTATAATTTCGAGAAGGTAGAGAATTTCGTTCACTTGGGAACCAGCATTAAGACTGATAATAATGCCAGCGAAATCCAATGCAGAATCTCTCTCACCAACAAGTGCTACTTTGGACTGAGTATGAAATTCAGGAGTAAAGTCCTCTATCGACGTACGAAAACAACACTGTATAAGTCACTCATCATGACCGTGCTGGTATATCGCGCAGAAGTATGAACAATGGCAACATCCGATGAGGCGCTCTTGGAGTATTTGAGCATTTGTTTTTGTTTGCACATGCAAATCAGCTGATCGTTTGACTTTTCATGAACTTACAGGAAAAAAAACTCCGGACTAAATTCTGTACCTTCTGACTAGGAACAGTTGCTCAGTTACTCTCTCAAAAGTGTTTCCACTTACAGGTTTTATGTCAATAGGAACGACTTCCTGTAAGTTCTGACTAAGGGCCGGTTACCCTGTTATATGCATGGAGTCGAAGACGTCGGTAACGATGTTTAACCGCAGATTAGTGTTAACCAGACATTGAGTAACCGGCCCTAAATCTTGTAAAGCGGACTGCTATTGGAACAGACTAAGGGCCGGTTACTCAATGTCTGGTTAACACTAATCTCCGGTTAAACATAGTTATCGACGTTACCGACTCCCTGTTATATGCATGGAGTCGAAGTCGTCGATAACGATGTTTAACCGCAGATTAGTGTTAACCAGACATTGAGTAACC